GTCTCTTAGTCTCCCATCACGAGTTTTTCTAAAGGGGTCAGTTCTATATTGTGTCAAGGCCTTTTCTCCTTCGAAGCCTCATTGTTCTCGTCAATACAAAAAGGGCAATAGGAATAACCCGGTTCAAACAGCACACATGCATATGAAGCTCCCTGGAAAAGAAAGCCTGTGATGTGGCTGTAAGTGGCATTTAAAAAGAAGTTTTAACGTAGCTGGGGCTTAGGTACCGTCCCACCCAGGGCTGACCCAGTGTCTTGCTCCTGAAAGGACGTGGGTCTTCTGCATGCCCCGGGCACGAGTTAGGCAGTCATTGTGCCCATGATTACCTTGTCTGTAATTTGCCTCCGCTGGGAATTTTTGACAACTCAGTTGGGTCAGTTGTCCACAGACGTGAGTGCTGCTGGGAATATGCACCTAGTTGCCCTCAACCAAGAGAAACCAGTCCAGACGAGCAGGGTTGTACAATTGATGGTCGAGGCAGTTCCGATCCACATCACCACGGGAAGGGGGTGGTGACCACAGACGAACAGACAGTGGATGACCTTGGTGTCAAACGCAGGCCTTCGGGAGCCAGTGTTTTTATGACCTCTTCCTCTTGTAGCTGCAGTGTCAAACAGACCAGGCTCCACCCCCACCCCACCCCGCTGCCCGGGTCCTTGCTGCCACGGGTCCCTTGGCAGTCTCGGGGTCGAAGATGTAATATTTACAGCTTAGAAGGGAAGAAAATACAAAGAGGGAAAATGTAGCAAATGGCTCGGAGACATTTAATCACCTGCAGGAAAAGAGGGATTAGGGGCGTCCGCACAGGGTGCAAAAGACTGCAGGTGTGTGATGGATGAGGATGAGAAGCTACAGGTACCTGGGGACAGTCTGTCAGGTTTGCACTTGCTGCCCCAGCCCAGTGATGGGCCTGAAGCAGAGAGGTCAGTCTAGGGACGTGTCTTTGGTCAGGGGCATCGAAGGAGATCATTCCGCTGGTTGAAAGGTGGCCTGGGCGCTGTTGTCGATTCAGTCACGGGCCTGCGAGGCAGACCCTCTTTATGGTATGGTGCCATCGTTCTTCCCTGGGCACCCCCACCTTCGCCAGGCCCTGGCCAGCCCATGTCCTTCACTGGGGTTTCCCCAGAGCCTTCAAGGAATGTGACAATCGTACCCATCGTGTTTGCTGCAAACACTAACCCTTCCTTAGCCAGATGGAGTCAAAATAGTGTTTTGAAGTTGGTCCACTTCCTGCACGAGAAAAGACCTATAGATCTGCGCCCATAAATATGGCAGCCGGGGAAACCCTACGGCGCAGTTCGACCCTGTCCGACAGGGTGGCTGTGAGTCAGAATTGACTAGACTCTGCCCATCAGCAACATACTTGCCTACTGTGGAAGGGAGCTCAAACTGCTGACCTTTCAGTTAATAGCCAAACACCTGACACTGGGGTTGCTGGGGCCCATGTCAAGAGATGCCCAGTGTTTCCAATTAAACTGGGCACGGTGTTGGCAAGGAGAGGAGAGTGGACCCGCAAAGGCCATCTGCTAGAGGCTCATCCGGGCCTCCACCATGGCCCTTCTGCACGGACAGAGGTCTCAGTGAAAGGACTTTTTAAGTCCTGTTATGTAATAATAGCTTTTTCTCCCAAGCCCTTTCGAACTCTGAACTTCCCCAACTTGAGGATTACATAATTGTTGCGTTCAGGGGACAGTTCCTGTCTGCCTCTGAGGTATTGTTTCTGCTGGATTCGGCTGTGTTGGAGAGAAGCTTCCCTCTCACAGGAACAGCCCTTTGGAAAGCAGCTCTGTTGGGACAATGCCAGTACCCACAGGACCCATACCGAAACGGGTCGAAATGACGCAAGTGATTGGCAGTCTACCGGGTCGCCCTGTGTTGTTTGTCTGAGCTTGCCCCCTCGGGTGGTAGGCATTGAGAGAAATGTTGTTCTCGGTGCGTTGGTGGACCTAAAAAGAGCACACCTGGCCCCGAACACCAGTCCCTCATCTTCTGGTTCGGGTGACTGACAAATCCAACAGCGATTAAGGGTGGCGGTGGGACAACGGGAGAAACCGAATGTATTAGCAGCGCAGAGTTACACCTTCCGAGAAGGTTGAAACGGCAGTGTTTTATCTACACGGGGGCACTTCAAAATGCCCGTGGAAAAATGGAATGAAAAGATCATGGAATTTTCCCCACCAACGTTTCAAGCCTCTCATTTTACCGAGGAGCACACGTGGCCTTCCGTTGCTACCTGATGGGGGCAGCCCTGTGAACCGGCAGCCAAGTCACAGGAGGAAGACGCAGCGGCAGTAGCTTCCGTCACAATGACAGTCCTGTGGCAACCCCATGGGGCTGCTCTCCTATGCGATTTGGTTTGGGGGGGCTCTTTACCGGAATTTTTTTAAAGGAGAAGAAATGGTAGTTATGTGGATGTTTGAAATGGGGCTCCTTTAAAAGAGGTACTAGGGTCTCCCCAGGAGCCCCGGTGGTGCAGTGGTCACTTGTTGGGCTCCTAATGGTGAGGTTAGCAAGTGGAAATCACCAGCCACTCAGAGGAGGCTATAGATGAGACTTCCTGCTCCCGTAAAGAGTTGCAGGTCTTGGAAGCCCACGTGGGTCAGTCAACCCTGTCCCGTAGTGTCACCATGAGTCAATGGACAAGATGGCAGTGAGAGGGTCTACTCTGAAAGCCAAGTCTCCCAGCTCTGCCCAGGGCGCAGACTGCAGATGTGGGAGCTGGCCTGGAACTGGAGCTCCCCACTAGGAGGGAGCAGACCGGCGCAGTTCTGGTAACCTAGCCCTGGCGGCCACACCTGCGAAGAGAATGTTCGGGAAGGTTGCCGGGTTGGTGGGGAGTGTTGAGTGGGCAGACCCGGGCCCAGCTTGGGAAAAGTCAAGCAGTTACCAGAGGGGCGGATGGAATGTTTTGAATTTGTCTGCAAGCTTCTTGGGTCAGCCCGGGGGTCCTGTGGACTCCTCCTTGGGAGGTCCTTTCTGAGCTCACTGTGAGAGCCAGAGGCCTGCTGCTGCTCCTTCACCCCAGCTCCCTCACAACGCCGGCGGCTGGGCTGCAAGCTCTCCATCTGGCTCCAGTCCGGGGTGGCTGCTCCCTCCAGAGCTTATCTGAATGTTCCTGGAACTGGCCCCTGAGACCTGGCCAAGCTGTTTCTGCGCACCCCCTCCTGTCCAAGAGGTGGGAACTCTGCCCTCACTCTGAGGCAGGCACCATGCAGAAGGGGGTGCCCTGGGTGCACTTGCCCCACCTCGGCATTTCCCACCCATAGCTTCTCTGGGTGCACTTGCCCCGCCTCGGCATTTCCCACCCACAGTTATTTCCAAGGGTTGGCTGTCTCTTCTGGGTGGCCCGGCTTTGGGGCCATGATCCTACTTACTCCCCCTATCCCTGCACCAGTCAAAACTAGGTTGGGAATGCTATTGGGAGTAGCCTGTCTGCTGATTGGCTCCTGGCTCACATCTTGTTTGTTTGTTTGTCCCAGACTTGCCTGACCAGTGTACTCCGAACCCCTGCGATATGGAGGGCACCCAAGTCTGCCAAGACCTGATGGGCAACTTCTACTGCCTGTGCAAAGCCGGCTGGCGGGGCCGGCTCTGTGACCAAGGTAGAACCACCTCCCTCCTTGCTGGTGAATGTGCTGGCCCTGCCCAGCCTGCTTCTCCATCACGGGGTGGGACCAATCAGGGAGAGAGTCACAGAGAGACAGACACCAGGGCTTAAACACCTCCTAGGGCCTCTCCCTGCAGGGCTGGTCAAGCACACCCAGCAGGCATACAGAGGGACCGGTCTCTCTCCTCCCTCATCTGATGCTATGCCACCACACTTGGGCACTGCCATGTTCTGGCTGAGATGGGGAGAGGTAGGACTTAGCCCCAAGGCTCTCCCTGGGATCAGGGGCCTTACCATTATGTCAGGAGGACATCTGCAGGCCCACTGGCCCTCCCCGACATGGTTAGCCCCCCAGTGTTCCCCAGTACAGTTAGCATTTAGCCTATGCTGGGAGTTGTCTAGCTCAGCCCTCCTGGGACAGGGGACTCCTGCAGTGTGAGAAGCCACAGTGAATTTGGCAGCCCCGAAGGGCTTGCTTGAAGCAGAGTCAGCCTCTTGAGAGGATCAGGGAGGCACTAGCTGGTCCCTCTCTAGAAACAGGGATGGAAACTAGGTCCCTGTTAAGCCCTCAGCTACTAATGGTGAGGTTGGCCATTCAAACCCACCCAGAGGTGTCTTGGGAAGAAAGGCCAGGTGATCTGTTTCTAAAAGGCTGTGACCTTGAAGGCTCTTGGATCACTTCCTGAAGCACCAGGGGTCCCCAAGAGGGAGACCCAATGTAGCAGCAATGAGCCAGCCAGCTGGCCAATAGACTGGCAGGCAGGTAGCCACAGTGTGAAGGGATGGGATCACCACCGTGGAGTACAGCACTCCAGGCTCTACCAAGCAGCCTGGTTCGAGGGGAGTCTGCCACCCCTGGTGGCCTCAGCCCCCACTGCTCAAAAGGAGGGACCAGAGGAAGTCCATCTCTCTCATCCTTGGTATCTGTAACTGTGATACCAATAAATGAACATTCAAGAAAAACATCCCTGAGCCTGGTTACAACCCTGAACCATGATCCCTTGGCTTTGGTGGAGATTTGGTCAACAGGCTGGACACCTCACCATTCATGGGCTGTCCCCCCACCCCCACCTCCTGGCCTCCTGCCCAAAAAGGAGGCTCTTGCTACCTGCACCAGGATTGTTCTACCTCAGGAAACCCTCTGCGGGTGGGCACTTCTGGGAAGGTACGCTCAGCCCACATTGTCCACACAGTGGCCTGGGGAGTGTCAGCTCAGCGTGGCCACGGGCCTATCTTTGCATGGTGGCACACAGAGCCAGTCCGGCTGCTCTCTGTCTCCGTGCCCCTCCTGGACTCACTGCGTGCCCTCTAAGCTGAGCCCAGAGGCCAAGCCTGACCCGGTGTTCCTCCTGAGAGCCTGAGCAGCAGTTCAGTTGGGTGCCCCAGGGGTGGCCTCATGCCCTCTGCCCTCCGCTCCTCCACACTGCACTGCCTCGCAGTTACCAGCCTGGCCCTAACTAATGCCCTTGAGGTGGTCTCCTGGAGAAAGCCTCAGGAATGCGCAAGGATGCCCCAAAGTGCTGAGGCGTGGATGTGGCGGAGAGAAGCCCAGTAGGAGGGGAACCTCTCAACTTTGCCCTCTCTTTCCCGGCACCCAGACGTCAACGAATGCAGCCAGCAGAATGGGGGCTGCAATCAAATTTGCTACAACCAGCTGGGCAGCTTCCACTGCGCCTGTTACAGCGGCTACTTGCTCTCCTCGGACAGCAGGACCTGTGAAGGTAAGGGCCCGGTGGAGGGCCCGCCCAGACGGGAGGCTGCCTCCCTCCTAGCCAGTTTCAGAAACCGAAGCTTTGGCTCCCCAGGGCAGAGGCAGGAGGCAGGGTTTTGTTCCCACATCCCTGCCTCCAAGGCTGCTCGCAGGGCAGGGTGCTCTTGAGAAAGCCTCTGAAAATGACCGTCCTTTTTCCTTTCAAAACCTTTTGCAGCTGCGCGGCTTCTCCCACCCACCAACGTTGGGGGTCCTCGTTGCTCTCTCTGCAAGAGGCTGTTGGCAGCCGGGCTCGGGTGGTTCTGGAAGGTGGAAGCGAGGGAGAGGCGGCACATGCCCGGGCATGCTGTTACTCTCAGTGAGCTGAGCCTGTAGCCCGAGTGATTCACCGGGGATCGTGGGCCAGGCCCTAAGGAGAGAAGGAGCAGGCTGGGGCTTCCTTACAGCTGAGCCTGGAGCTGCTTGTGTGCCAGACTCCCAGCCCAGGAGGACCCGGGTCCTCTCTAGTGAGGGGAGGTCACGCGGGAGCCTGAGGGTAGCAGGGCCAAGTTGCTCTCTTCGCCAGGTTATGGACAAGCCTGGAGTGGTTTGGGGGCAGTTGTGCATGCTTGGGGCATTACACGAGGGGTCATATGCAGGGAGTATGGGGACCGGGGACCCAGTACCAGGCCACTGTTGCCAGAATCCCAGCAGCCTCCCATATACCACCTTGTCCACCCCAACGAAGCTCTCCTCCCCAAAGCTCCTTCCCCATCCCGGGCCCCTTTCTCTAACCAGCTTGGGAGATGGAAAGGGCTGCTCACCGAAGCAGAAAGCAGGCCCGCCTTTCCGACTTTGTTCTCACTTCAAGGAGGTTCCTCAAAGCCTGAGCCACCGGAGCAAGGCCCCATCGCGAGAACACCCCAGAAAGTCCCTGCACACTAGACACCCTGGATCTCTCGTCCTCCAGGGACGCCTGCGGAGAGCCTCGCCAGGGTCCAAAGCTGCCCCACACCATGTCTGCAGGGTCCAGGACGGCTTTCTGCCTCCCCGTCTCGGCTTTCTGCCTCCCCGTCTCATCTTCTGACCCAGCAGGGCCAAGGACATCCTTGTGGAGGCGTCCCTGCAGCCGTAGGAGCTGCCTGTCGTATTGCTGTGGGCTGCCTTACCCAGGACAGCGGCGCTGCCTCTGCAGTGAACTCGTGAAGCTGAGGGGCCCAGGGAGCGTCATAGAACCAGGAGGGTCTATCTGAGCGTCCCTGGCATCAACGAAGTGGTTTTCAGTAACACAGGACGGAGCACTCAGCCTCTCAGGGATGATGCGCCCCGTTTTGTCTGGAAGAGGAGAGTAATCATCTTGTGGTCCATTTCTGCAGTTAGCATTCCTGAGGACCCAGATTCATTTCACTGGCCAAATTGAATGATTCCCTTCTTAGGGTGGAAGCAAAACCTGTCTCCTTTCGCCACCAGCCTTCCACAGACCTAACTGTACACCCCACCCCCGCCTTAACAGCAGTGGACCCACACAGAGCTGCGGCGTTAGGCCCTGTTTAGGTCCCAGCTCCATCGATGGCTATTCGAGTTGGAGCAAGTAGCAAGTGACTTCACATCCCTGCAGTTGAAGGCCCTTATCTTTCAAAAGCCGGCGGCCAATGGTGTCAGTAACTGCGTGCGGCTGCTGCAGAGACACCCCAAGGGAGTGGGCTTTGACAGACAGAAATGTCTTCTCTCCGAGGTCAAGAGGCTCCAGGTCTGAATCCAAAGGTCTGGCTCTCTTGGAGAGCTTTTCTCTGGGTCAGCTCAGAGGTCAGGGCCTTGTCTCCTTCCAGCATCTATGGGGTCAGCATCCCTTGGGGATGGACAGGCATCTTAGCCTCTTCCCTTGGATCTAGGCTCTCCGTGCAGGGACTCAGTCCTGTTTCTTGGTGGTGATCCAAGTAAGGAGGTGGATCACTGACGCCTGACTGTAAGGCGGCTCACATCAGATTGGACCATGGGGGATGACTACTTCATTATATCACGTCCAAACCGTGAGATTCGTGGTCCAGCCAAGCTGATGTTTTGGAGGGAGTTGGGAGGAAGGTGCGGGTAGGTACACATACCTACTGTGCATGGGGTGTTTATGAGCCAGGGTCCCACTGGGTAGCAGCTAACAGGGACATTTCTTTTCAACTTGGGAACCCCAGACCATAGTTTGGAATGAACAATGATCAGGAGTCTTTGGCACGGTGACCAGGAAGCAGATGGAACCTTCCCTCGTGCCTCCTCTCAGCTTCCAAAGGCCTCTCTCTGGTCAGTACAAGAAAAGGTGGCGAGGAGCCCTGGGCTGGTGCCCTTTTACTCAGCCACGCCGAGGGCCTTCACAATGTCTGACGGTTTTCTTGGCTGCCAGAACAGGAAGGGACTGGGCTGGCCACGTTGGTGACAGGAGGCGCTCGGCTCTGTGGCTGAGACGTGTGGGCTGGCCAGCTTGGCTCGCCTGGCTCGCCAAGGAAGCTGACCTACTGTGGACACCAGAGCGTGGGCTCGGCAGGTGGAGTCCCTTCCTCCGTGAGGGCAGCTGGGAGTGCTTTTGCAGCCATGCAGAGAAGGCTGTTGGCAGGCTGGGTTTTCCATGCCAGGTGCCAACCCTGCTTAGCTGTGAATTCCTACTGAGGGGAGCTGGGAAAGTTTCTTTCATGCGCTGTGTCCAGGTTCCTGGGTCCCTCTCGTTTACTCGGATTGTTTGCGGGCTCTACTTACAAATTGCTAACTTCCACAGTGGGCGAAGTGGGAGGAGAGTGGGCTAGAAGGCAGGGAGAGTGGTGGAGGTGGAGGCAAGGGGAGGTGGGTAGTGCGTGCTGACCAAGAGGTGGACATTGAGATGGGGGCAGAGCAGGAGGTAGGGAGAGATTGGGGGCAGTGCCTCAGAGGAGCCGGTAAGGTGCCCAGGCCTCCTGCGGGGATACCCAAGCTGTAGAAGAAAGCAGCAGTGATGATGACTCACGGGGGAAACGGGGAGCCTTTGATAAATCAGGGTGGGGACTTGTGAGTTCAGGTTCCCGCCCCATTGTTTCCCTGGTGGAAGGAATGACCCAGCCCTTGGTCTGCTCAGGATGCAGCAAGGATAGGCATACATTTGGCTCAGGACCCTGCCAGCTGAGAATTTTCCACAACTCTTCGGTCCTGCTTGGAGCTGCTCTAAAGCCATCCCCCACTGCCACGCGGTGTCGGGTTTCCGAGGCTGTCCATTTTGATCCTGAGAGCAGACATCCTCGCCTTTCTCTCAAGGAGCAGCTGGTGGGTTTGATACGCTGACCTTGCAGTTCCTTTTGCTCAGAGGCAGTGGTTCTCCACATGTGTCCTACTTTGACTATACCACTGACCCATGAGAAGATCAGTTTCCAGCTCTCCAGATCAGAGACTCTGGACGTAAGGGCAATCTGTGCTTTAGCAAGCCTTCCAGGGAATTCTGGTGCATGCCCACATTGGAGAACCTCTGGTCTACGGCAGAACTCCCAGGTATACAGACAGCGGGAGCTAACAAAGATCAGTGGTTTGAGTCTGTCCAAACACACCACAGAAGGAAGGCCTGGCTTCCAAAACACCTACTTCTGAGAAGCCACCCAGTGGAACACAGCTGTCCCCTGACACGCCTGGGTCCCCTGAGTCCGTGTGGAGTCCATAGCTGGTACCTGTGCCAGGCCTCACCCAGGGGCTGCCTGGTGGGGACTGGTAGCAGCCTGGACTGCCACCAAAAGAAAGCCCAGCCACGGGGGCTCTGCCTGTCCAGACCAGTCCTTTTACAGCAGTTCTTGGCTATTAGCTCAGGAATGCCAAGAAGCTAGGTTATCTGTCCCCATCAAGGCAGTAAGGATGGGTGAAGGTTTCAGAGTTGTCCCTGGATGCTTCCTGTCATTGTTGTGTAGCAGGGTCTTATCAGGTGACATCGGAGCAGGGCTGCTCTCTAAGGGAGAGGGATTTTTGAGCTTCTGTGAAGGTTACAGTAAATTAGGACTCCTTTGGGCAGGGAAGACCCTGTGATAAGGAGTTGGCTAGGTGTGGAGGGGGTGTGTGTGTGTGGGAATGCTACAGGGTCCAAACCCATCTCACTCCCACAGGGAGGGCTGGCTGTGAAGTAGCTGTTTACTTCAGATTAGAATCAGATCCTGGTTTCCAGCATGGCCTCACCCACTCTCATTACTCAGGAGGGCCGGGACTCCGGAGACTAGATTCAGGGAGTCTGAGGATGGTGCCGAGGTCGAGGCTATACGAGCATGCTTAGGAGAGGCAAGGGGTGGGCTGGCCCCCGGCATGGAACAGGAGAGCAAATTCTTTCCATCACGAGGCAGCTCCTGTCTGTCTGGACATGAACCCAGCCTGAGATCTGGTCCTGATCTAGCCCGTACCTGCCAAACCCAAACCTCTGCTGAGATGGGCACCCACTCCCGCTGCCGTACAGGTTACGGCGATGCCTGCTGTGTGTGTCTGAGTAGAACGGTTCTCTGTAGAGGTCGGTAGCTGAGTTTTCAGAAGAAAGCCAGGCTTTGCCAGGGGCGCCCTTGGAGGGGCTGAGCTGGCAACCTTTCAGTTAGCAGCGCAGTGCTTAACCCTTTGTGCCACAAGGGGGACACGGCTTATTATTTGTTACCACTCCTTCAAGGTATTCACGGATTGTCCCCTCTGGGAACTGGAATAATTTCAGAAGGATCCAGAGTCCCATCTGTACTTCACGGGCCAATCCTGTGAAGTACAAACTCGGCCATAGTTCGTACCTGTACTCTGGGGGAACTAGATGCCTTTCCTGTTGGCTGGTTCCCATGAGGAGTGAGCGACAGCTTTGTCTTCCCATGGCAAAGCCTGTGGTCTTGGGTAAGCTGCCCGGCAATGAACTTCTACGTAGTTGGAAATTTTTTTTCATAGTTGGAAATTTTTGAGACAAAGGATTTTTGTTGTTGTTGCCACCTGAGGAATGGTATGCCACTTAAAGTAATAATTGCACTTTCTTAAATCTCCTTCTGTGGCTGCAGGGAGATGCTGGTGTCGTGGTTCTAATGACAGGGTTTTCCGTTCTGTTTGTTATTTCACACACACACACACACACACACACACACACACACACACAGTGACATGGAGACCTGAGGCTAAAACACTGATGGTGAGCAGTTGGTGTTTGAGTTTCGATAAGCCTGATTAGAAGGATAGCAACTGAGAGCCCCAGTGCCTGCCCTCTGTGAACCCCATGTCAGGGAAGGACCCAGTGAGTGCCTGGGACCCTCTCTCCAGCCGAGGCAGAGAGTGCTGGTATGATACATGGACCAGTTTCCAATGTTAATGCTCAAATCTTAGAATGCAGGATATTCCTAATGATAAAAACAAGTTGTTTTATCAATACATGGGTCCTGATAGAGAGGGAAGGATATAGAACAAAACTGCAAATTCCCAAAACACAAGCAAGCAAAATCCCTGCAAATGCCCAAAGGATCCGGACTTAACAGCCCCAGGGAGGCTGGAGGAGCTCCCAAGACTATTCCTTTGGGGTGCTCTTCGACCTTTGAGGCAAAACTATCTTCTGATTTCATTTTTAAACAAACAAGCCAATGAAACATCAGCTTCGCTCCAAAAGAAGAATGCTGTCCTTCAGCCGTATTCTAGGTGAGAAAAGAGACCATCAGTTCAGACACAGGGAATTCATAGAGACGCATTAATTCAGTCAAAGACCAGGCAGAGGCAGACCATCCGGATGAGAGAGACCATCAGCAGGAGGCCATAGTGATTGGTGTCCAAAGAGTCACAGAAACATGGCCACGTAAGAAGGTGGTGGACAAAGGAAACGTCCACACAGTCGTGGTGCCTGCCAATCAAGTCGGCACCGTTGCAGACTAGAAAAGTTGGTTCAGAAACCTCCACGAAGGCTGCCTGGTTCTGGCTCCTGCCTGGGTGACCCTAGTGCCCCAAATTCCATCCAGAGCACGCCCTGCTGGTCGCCAAGAGCGAGGCTGCCGCTCCCAGGGCTGGACAGTGTAGTGGTAGTAACCCACTTCCAAACACATTCTGGCTGGAGGCAGAGCTGCTCACATGGCAGGTCAGTGGGTCGGAATAGATTCAGTGGAGGCTGACTCTGTGGCGGTTCCAATATGGACGTAGGGCTTCCACTGTACACTAGCCTTCCGGAAGCCTAGTGTTCAGACTTTGAGTCCTAATGCCGTATTCGGCTTTTCAGTGGAAAGAACTCTCTAACTCTCTATTGGACTGCACCTCCCAGAGAAGTTTAGGGGTAGGGAGTCTAAATTAACGTGGGGGAAGTTACTAGAGCAGGAATGGCAGATGCAACCAACATCACTGAGAGGTGTGTGTCAACTGTTGGATGGGTGCAGGTTTTGATGTGTATCTTTTCACCAAGCAGTAAAGTCAAATGCAACAATGTTGTTGTTTGAGGTCAGTAAGTGCTTAACTTTCCCCGGTGGCGATTTGGATGGAAAAGGCGGCTGCGGGGTTTATTTTCACGGTTTTTGTACTAAAATTATTAGTTGAATCCAATAACTATACTCATGTTCTTAGCCAGCCAATGTGGTAGCGCCTGTGCCACTGGGTTTGTTGGTGGGATAGTGAGCTTCTCAACTTGGGAAGGTTAGAAATGGGCCCTCAGCCCCACCCTGCTGCTTCACCTGGGCCCCTGGGCCTAGAGCTGAAGTCAAAGATGGAATCCTTGTTTGTGTCAGCAGGTGGGGGCAAGGGGAGTCAAGGGAGGAATGGGGGTGGTATTTGGGAGTTTGTGGAGCCCAGGTGTCGGGGCAGGCAGATCGCTGCCAGGCACAGCGGACTGATGGATTTCACAGAACCTGCCCTTATCTAGTGTGGCCTTGACTTTAATCCCTACCAGTCATGGGCCACGGCAGCTCTCCGGTTGCTTCAGAGGTAACCAGGAGCCTCGCCTTTCCACCTGTCGATCTGCAGCCTGGGTTCTGTTTGCAGACATCGATGAGTGCGCAGATGTGCATGCCTGCGGGGAGGCACGCTGCAAGAACTTGCCAGGCTCCTACTCCTGCCTCTGCGAGGAAGGCTACAAGTACGACCCGGAGAAGAAGGCCTGCCTAGGTACGTGCCCTCTGTTGACCCCCCTCCCCCTGGGAAGGAATTCTCTTTGTCCTTTCCGAATCTTCCCTGTGCTTCGGAGCGCTCGCTGTGGCCACTTCATAGGTGAGCACTGAACATTAGCAACCACTGGGCACAAAGTCCAGAGATGAGCTCGTAAGTAGAAAACCAGTTAGGAAAAGGGTAGGGACCACAAAACCCAACCACAACCCAACTGCTGTCGAGTTGACTCTGATGTGGAGTGACCCTGGAGGACCGGGCACAACTGCTCCTTGGGGTTTCCGAGGCTGACCCTCTTTGTGACGCACACACGCAGCCCCATCGTTCCCGAGGAGCAGCGAGCGGCTGGTGGGCTCCATCTGCTGATCCTTGGATTAGCAATCCAAAGCATCCATCCACCCCCTCGCAAAGTGGCCCCAGAACATCCCACAAGGAACCCCGTCTCAGCTTCTCTTAACCCCAGAGCCCCCAACCTCACAGATGTACTTCATGAGGAACTTCAGCACCCTTCTCCCACCTGCCATAAACATGGAAAACCAACTGCCATGAGTTTATTCTGACTCACGGGACCCTGTAGGACAGAGGAGAACTGCCCCTGTGGGTTCCCAGGCTATAAAACGTTGCAGAAGATAACAGCCTCGTCTTTCGCCTCCGGAGCAGCTCATGGAGTTGAGCTGCTGACCTTGCGGTTAGCAGCCTAACTCCTAACTCACCAACCCACCAGGGCACCTTCCCACCTGCCATGGGCACAGGGGAGAGAGTCGACAAGGAAGTCTACTGCAGAACACTAGAGAGGCAAATCAGGCCTCTAACCCACGCTCCTCACTGCCCAGAACCAGCCATGTGCCAGAGGAGATGTAGAGAAGCAAGAGTCTTTCTTGCCATTTGTCATAGTTTTCTAGGATTAGACAGCAGGCTGCTAATCACAAGGTCAGCTGTACAGACCTGCCAGCCACTCCATGGGAAAATAGGAGGCTGTCTGCACCCATGAAGATGTACAGTCTTGCCATTCCTTCGTAGGGTCACTATGAGGAGGCAGGAGGGCATCAATGGTGATGGGTTGGGTTTGGCTGTAATAGACATGCCACCAGTTGGTGGCTTAAAGGACAGAAATGCCTTGTCTCGCAGCCCAGGGGGCTGGAAGTCTGAATGCAGGCCGTGGCTCTAATAGCTGAGAATCCTCGGAGCTGCTGAGCCTGGGCCTACACTGCTCTCCATAGAACTCAGAACGGATTTCAGAAATCAACCACCTGGAAAAGACCTATTAGCCCCACACCAGAAACCCTCTTCCCCAAGTGGGTGATAGCCACAGTTCCCGGAGCTGGGCTCCCAACACCTATGGGAGAGGACACAAGTCAGCCTGGTGACTGTTCTTCCTCTCTGCTGGCCATGGGAGGACTGTGCCCCGTTCTTGATGGTGTGGAGCTCCAGGACAGCCCCTCCTTTATGGTGGGCAGCATTGAGGAGGGGCCCATAGACAGAATGAGAAGGCAGGATGGTCGAACCCCATCTGGAGGAGCAGGGGGACTGAAGGAATGAAGTCCCCGTCTGTGCTGCTGCATTCCCTACCTTCCCTCCATCTCTGACCACTACCCGCCCCTCGGACTCTTTAAGTGCCCAGGGATAAAAACAAAATATGAAAAAACTCACCACCATCCAGCCAGTTCCGGCTCATAGTAACCCCTACAAACAATTTCAGAGGCTGTCAGTCTTGAGGAGAGCAGACAACTTCGTCTTCTGCTCAGGGAGCTGCTGGTGGGTTTGAACTGCTGACTTCGTGGTTTACAACCCAATGATTTTACAGTCCAATGCTTACCTGGCAGCAGCAGCACCACCACCAGGGCTCCCCATCCCAGGAATGGCTGCTTGAATTTGCATCTGTATCCTCTAGTCCAAAGGAGCTGTGTTGTTAGTCTGGGTAAACTAGGGAAACAAATCCATAAAAACTCATATATATAGATGAGAGTTTTATATAAAGGGTAAGTGTACATTAAGAAAACATCCCAACCCAGGGCTGCCCAAGCCCATATGTCCGACACCAATCTAAAAAGCCCTCCTCCATCTCACAAAACACACGTAATGATGCTGACTGCCGGTGGAAAGCAGAATCAGTAAGCATGTAAGCATCTCAGTGCTGTCAGGGGTCCAGGGCTGCATCAGGCTAGGTCCATGTGGCTTCTCCTCAGGGATGTCTTATAGGAAGTGAGCTTTGCCAGCTGAAGCAGGGAACTGGCTAAGGCAGCTGCACCCTGGTCCAACCATCAGAGAGCAAGAGACCGGAGAACTAGAAAGGTGAGGCTCACTGAGCCATTTATCTCTCCGCCCTTCAGTTAATCCCACCTGTGTTTATCGGCCAGGTTGGCACAATAAACCTTAACTCTCTCAGGAGCCCTGGTGGTGTAGGGGTTTTGTATTGGGCTGTGATCCACAAGGTCTGCAGTTTGAAACCATCAGCTACTCCGCAGGGGTAAGACAGGGCTTTTGACTCCCATAAAGAGTTACCGTTTCGGAAACTCATAGGGCAGCTCTGCCAGGTCCCATAAGGTCGCTATGAGCTGGAATTGACTCCGTGGCAGGGAGTATCTTCTCGTCCATGCGCTTTATACACGTGACTCTCAGACGAGCCTGTCAGGTAGACTTAGCATATAATACAACTTACCCTGAGGCAATTGCTCTCCTTGGCTCCCTTCAAGGGAAAGGGGAGAAGAGAGTCTAAGAGGGACCAGCCCTGGCCGTCCAGCCTGGCTGCAGATCTGGAAGAAGGTACATGGAGATGAATACTGTTATTAGAAGGGCCATAGGCTAGAGAGACTCATGCTTGCTACATGACACACTTTACGCCGTTTCCATGGTTACACGGAGCACATCACCTGCAGTGTGGTGAGTAAAACCTCCAGGAAGCACTCCGTCAGAGGTGTTTTCCTTTGTCACGAATGCCAGCACATCTCACACACCCATGTCTCCTGCAGATGTGGACGAATGTGCGGCAAAGCCCTGTGAGCAGACCTGCGTTAATTCCCCGGGGAGCTACACCTGCCACTGTGACGGGCGCGGGGGCCTCAGACTGTCGCAGAACATGAACACCTGTGAGGTAGTGTGCTCCCCCCACCCCACCCCTCCTGTGGGAGGAGGCCCTCAGCTCCAGCTCCCAATGCCAGGGGACGGGGAGGAATGGGCGCTTTTAGAACAATCCAGTCCAACTGGCTGGGTCTCAGGGAATCCAACCCCTCCTTGGGTCACGGCTTCCAGGTTCCGTTTGTGATTCTTTTGACAATTGTTGGAGTGGGTTTTTCAGGAGAAATGCTTTTTTTGGATACTTAGCTTTTGCTCTGAAGGCACTTCGTATTCTTTGGGGCCGCACGGAGAGGTTTGGGATAGGAAGTGTGTCTGCTCTCTAAAAGATGTTTGACTCTATTTATAAATCTCTATGGCAACTCCCCACTCACCAACTGACCAGCATGGTTGTGGACCCAAAGTGTGACACACACACACATACTAATGCACATTTTCTCCTGAATTAGTCACACTTACCCAGGAAGCAAGCTAGACCATCTTTCTGTAACACATGTATGTCATTAGACCCTGCACGTTCATACCTCCATCGGAGAACATTCCCAGCTAGTAGTTTTCCTGTTCACTGGAGGCCCTGGTAGAGGCTAAGGAACTCTGAGAAGTTGCTTATAGTGAATGTTATATGAATGACAAAATGTTCTTCCAGAAGAAAGAGCCCTCCTTGGGTAGGTACACAATGCTGCAGATGGTGGCACGTGGCTACAGGGGTCTCTGGAACCTGTGCCTGAGGAGGTGTTGTCTGGCTTACAGTGGGGTTTCTCAGTATTGACTTTATACAGGGTGGAGAGCATCTGCCTTCTCCTGTGGCCTCATTAGGCTGCATGAGGCCTTCAGAGCCCCTGTGCTCTGCCTGTGGCCCCCTCACACCACCCTTCTCTTGGGGGGAATTGTGGGGAACTAACTATGTTTGAGGAACATCGAGGTGAGCAGGTTTCTAGCTCTCAGCCCTGGCCCTGGCTAACCATGTGATCCTGGAGAGATTAGTTCTTCCTCTCGGGTCCCTCCTCAGGTGCCTTCCCGGTGGTCAGCTCTGACCTTCTGTTCTACGGCAAGAGAGGAAAAGCTCTAACCACCACAGCTCGCTGACTAGACCTGGAGCAGAGCATATTCTAGAAATGAGTCTTCAAGGCATCCATATTTTACTTATTTTTTAATGATAGTTTCTAGTATCATTGCTTCTGAAACACTGTTCTCTGTATGGGTGAAATATTTCTTAATTTAAAAAGAAAGAGCATCAGAAGGGAAAGGAGTAAGGAAGGAGGGCAATGGAATCCAGCCTCCAGTCGCCAGTCAGATATCCTTAGGCTATGCAAATTATGCAAAAATGAGACCAAAGCCCTCTATATATGAGCCAGACCTTGACACCTGGAATCCCCGTAGCATATCGAGGTCCGGTTATAGCAATCATTTGGGGATTTCTAACTAACCCCAAGGCACTGAGTTCAGAGACTAATTTGTGTTGTGTGCGTGACGTGGCCCCAGCTTCTGATATCCTGGGAGGCGAACGATGATTAAGCTCTTGATACAAGCAGTCTCATGTGGTCCTGCGATGATGGTGGGTCCTTGGGGCTAAAGGAAGCAGCTAAAGGAAAGGGATGCTTCCTCCTCTCCCGATGCTCATAACTCCTGCTCTGTGACAGGACATTTTGCCATGCGTTCCTTTCAATATGGCCAGAAGTATGAAGTCTTTATATCTGGGACGGATGTTCAGTGGGACCCCCGTGATCAGGCTACGTTTCAAAAGACTGCAGCCCACCAGGTGAGAAGGGGATTTGTCTTAAACACACACCCACACAAACACAAAGATCCTTTCCGATAAAATAGCCAACACAGATGCCTTCATCGTCACACCAAACCCATTGCTATAAGGTTGGTTTCCACTCACCTTGACCCATGTGACAGAGTAGAACTGCCCGTAGGGTTTCCGTGATTGTTATTTTGGAAACAAGTTGCCAGGCCTTTCTTCCTTGGCAATTGTGGGTGGGTTGGATCTACCAAGGTCTAGGTCAGTCATCAAGTGTAAACTGTTTGCACTCCCCTGGGACCTCACCATACCCAAACCCACTGCCAGCAACCCAATTCCCTCTCACAGCAGCCCTCTATATGCGCTCTGAGGCTGTCTTCCGGGTGGGAGCGGAGCGCCTCGTAGACGGTGGGACGCTGGAACTTGTGCTTGAGGAGAACTGTGGTCTTGTTTCCAGTGGAGCCCAGAATGGTCCCGGACCATCTCTTGGTCTCAACATGAATTTCAACCGTGGTAAAGGTTTAAATAAATGCTAGGTCTCTGAGTTCACCAAAAGGCCCCACCAACCAACTGCCCACCATGCCTAGACTGCCGCCACCACCCCCCTTTGGGCAGGAGATGTGTTTTGGACAGTGCTGGAAAGGAAGGACGAGGGGCACTGCTAGGGCGGGACGTTGGGTGGTGTTTGTCCACGAACTTATCCATCGTGTGCCCATGTGACCCCATAGGCTGCTTAGCTGCTGCTTTCTCTGACACCAGATTTTAAGCTAACCGGTAGGGCCAGAAGCTGTGAGTCATTCTGACCAAACTCTAATTTGTTTCTTGGCACCCTCGTGGTCAGACTTGTGGCTGAGTTCGAGTTTAGAACCTTTGACCCTGAAGGTGTCCTTTTCTTTGCCGGAGGCCATCAAGACAGCACCTGGATCGTCCTCGCCCTGTGGGCTGGCCGGTTGGAGCTGCAGCTCAGCTACAACGGGATCGGCCGCGTCACCAGCAGTGGGCCCATCATCAACCACGGCATGTGGCAAACGGTGAGTGTGGCTGCCAGCTTCCCTCTCCTTTCCCAACCTGAGGACCTCAGCATTCCCTGGGGCTCTCTGGCATGCACCCCCCACTGAGTGCCACTCAGCCCAGCACAGTAATCCTGCCAACAGGAAGCACCCTGGCTGTGTGCAGCTCCAGCTCTGGTGGGGCTCTGCCTATGTCTCAAAGGGCTTCTCCTCCTCATTCCCCCAGAGTCTAACATGAGAACAGAGAGTCTCAGAGCAGAGATTCATCGCTAGAGCTGGGGCTCTCAAATAGGGTGATTTTTGCTGCCAGGGGCATCTAGCAATGTCTGGAGATAAGGTTGCCAGTTACAATTTGGGCATGGGGGTGGGGTAGTGCAGCTGTCATCTAGTGCAGGGGTGGGGAACATCTGGCTCAGGTTGAATGAGGCCCAAATATTCCAGACCAGCGAGCACCACAGGCCTCCCCAAAGAGAATCACAGTTCTAGCCATCACATTAGACTCATGGCCATTGAGTCCAGTTTCGACTCTTAGCCACCCTAGACGACAACCCTGTGGGTTTCGGAGGCTGTACCTCTTTCTGGGAGTAGAAAGCCTCATGTGTATCCCGTGGAGCAGCTGTTGCCCTTGAACTGCAGACCTTGCGGTTAGCAGCCCAATGCGTAATCCACTACGTCACCAGGGTCCCCGCCATCGCATAAAGGCTGAGTTAATTAAATGTTAGACCAGTCAGGCCGATGAATGATATTAAAAATATACAAATGGCCCTTGGCAGAATAAGGGCTATGCATCCCAGATCCACCGGGTAGAGGGCAGAGGACAGAGATGCTGGTGAACATCCTACAAGGTGCATAGTGGCTCTCCTCAGCCAGTGATCCCAGGACCAAATGATCACTAGATGGGAGGTTGAGAAACCCGGGTCTGGAGGTTCAGGGGCTTCCTGCTCCTCATCCCCAGGTGGGTTATTGGCCCACTTCTGGAGCCTGTTAATTTCCAAATGGGTGTCCCCCTCATCTAGATGAAAAAGCCAGCTCTTAGGGGCCAAGGGGAGCTCCTCCTGGGGCGTGACCCTCTAGAGTTTTCTGGCCGTACAGAGTCAAGACCTTTGAGGTGGGCATGCAGGTGAGCTCTGGATTAAGCACATGCCAACAGGTTTTTGTTTTAGGGAGACCTGTTCTGCTAACAGGGAGACAGACGGGGCTTTCTACTCTCATGAAGAGTAACAGTCTCAGAAACCCATAGGGGCAGTTCTGCCCTGTCCTTCAGGGTCGCTGTGGGTCTGCATTGACTCACTGGTAGTGAGTTTCGTTGGTTTTGTTGTCTTCCTGCAAACTGTTGACTTTTAGGAATATGGCCTGACCTGCCTCACATCCAAGCTCGTGGAATACATTGGGCTGTAATCTAACGGGCTCTCGCTGTTGAGGCAAAAATGCCATGCTCACTTGAAAGGGGGCTTTCAGAAAAAGAACTTGGTGGAAAAGCATGCTTCAGTCCCTGAGAATGGCAGATAAAATGGAAAACTTCCCCCCGGCCTCCGTGAATGAAAACGTTGTAGACGTGTGCTAGTGTTTCCATCCTGCCCAGTAATGTCTAGTTCTTTCCCTAACCTCTTAAAGTAGCAAGTAGCTCCTGAGTGGCAGGAGGGGTGCTGCCAGCTTAGCTACAGATTAAAACAAAACAAAACCATGTATAAGGCGCTGGTCAAGATTGACGAGTGCGATCTGCAGATAGGAACTTGGTGCTCTCCAGCCTTCCGGAGACTCAGGCCCTTGCCCTCCGTGTGGGGGCTACAGAGCCGGGTGGCTCGAGATGAGATCGCTGTGTGGAAAACATGACCTGATCCATCTGATACAGTGCGCCCGAGGGGGGGGGGGGGCATGACCGACAGTTACCCCCGCACCCTGGGGGAGCGTGTGGCAGGTCCCCAGGGGCATGCCCTTCAGGAGGAGGGTCATATTAATGGAGTCTTTTCTCTCCAACCTATAGCTTCTCTCTAGTCCCCCACATACACACACGGTCTTTCTTGACCCTTCGGACTGTCCCCAACACACACACTTCAGAATAGATAGATAATTTCCACCTACACCTGAAAGGAAGCCCTGGCAATGGTGTGCTTATGCGTTGGGCTGCGATCCCCATGGTCGGCAGTTTGAAGCCAACAGTTGTTTGGAGAGAGAAAGACTGGGCTTTCGACTCCTGTGAACAGTGACAGCCTCTGAAACCCACAGGGGCTCGCTGTGAGTCAGCGTTGATTCCAGGGGAGTGAGCCTGGTTTGGAAACCCGAAATGGAGCCCTGGCGCGTACTGGTGACACGGTGGGCTGTGATGCGCAGGGTCAGCAGTTTGAAACCACCAGCTGCTCTGTAAAAGAAAGACTGGGCTCTCTACTCCACTAAACACTCACAATCTTGGAAACTCACTCACAGTGTGCTAGAGGGTCAGTGTGCATCAGCATCCACTCGATGGCCGTGAGCTTTTGACCGAGAGAAGCCGGAAAGGAAATTGGTATACTTCTCAGGGATCGGTGCTCTTGAAAGACAACAGTGAGAGTAAAATGGGACTGTGTGTCTGGCAGGTGGGGCAGGACTCTGTGAACTAGAGGCTCCCCTGGGAGTGGGAGAAGCGCTGTCTGCCCTCACAGGATTGTTGGTGTTAACTGGCCTCGTGGTGACCACGTGCACACTGTTCCTGTGCCGGCTTCCTGAGTTTTAGCGTGTTCTTTGAGCCCATTGTTTCAGCCACTGTGTGTTGGGTAGCCTCCAGCCAAGGCACCATCTTCCATCATGGTCGTATTGAATCCCTTTTGTGATCTCTAAGGCTTTCATTTGCTAGTTTTCAGAAGTTGGTCACCAAGACTTTCTTCCTAGTCTCTCTTGGTTGGGTGACCTTGGTTGGGTGACCCTGCTGGGATTTGAAATGGCAACGACAGAGTTTCCAGCATCACAGCAATAAGCAAGGCACCAGAAGTAGGACAAGCTGACAGTTGTCTGGCAGATAGGTGGGTAGATGGGTGATCATCGACCAGGTCAGGGAAAATCCCGGTCTTCCCTCAAATATCCGCACAGTGAGCCACCTCAGGCTCCTGTCCTGCGTGTCCCAAGAAGAAACCACTCTGAGCTGGCCTCTTCATTTGCAGAATGACAGAGTTAGAAAGGTCAAGGATGGCAACTTCATGTGACATAACGCTGTCACTCTCTCCCCCTGGACCGTGGCAGATATCCTGCTAAGTGATCCTGCGTATCTCTTCCTGCTGGGCAGAAAATGGAAACATTTTACCATCCCTAGACCAGATAATCTCCCAGGTCTTTGGCAGCACTGATCCTGCCGTGTAGAAATGAGCCTTCTCAGGGCAGATTGCCATCCGCGCCTGCCCGGCGCACACCTCCGGGGGGAAATCAGGGATGGCCCCTGGAGGGAAAAGGCATTTGAAGTGGGGACCGGGAAGATGGGATGCTGGACTAGAGTACAGAAATGGCTTCTCTGGAAAGTGTCAGAAAAGGACAGCACAGGAACTGTGGGGAACTGGGGAGAAAGATAGCTTCCGCCTAGTTGTGGAGGCCTCTGGGAGCCCCGTGAGGAGGCATCCTGAATGTCACAGAGGGTTGGAGGCCATACAACCGTGACTGGGGCTTGCCAGCCTTTGAATGGACTGCAGCCAGGCCCTGAGTCAGCGTCATCGCCATAAAAACATATGAAACGGAATGATGGTGATCCCAGATGCTAATACCCACCAGCACCTGGCAGATGCAAATGAAACAGCCTGTGAAGGAAAGATAGTATAATCTCAGGCCTTAAGTTATGTTCACACAGCGTTATTACAGTATGAGAGACAATTAGGCGCAGACAGGATGCCAGAGAGGAGAATGTGCCAAAATGCCAGAGCCTTGAAATGCAGCCTGTGGCAGTTATGTCATCCCCTGTCAACTTGACCGAGGGGGTGGGGTCTAACCTGTCCATCAGGTCATAGCCAATCATGCCTCTGTGTGGGCAGAGCCTTCTGAGGATTCTGGGAACTCCCGTCTTCCTCCCTGGAAGCAGGGCACACACTCTCTCTGCTGGACATTCCTGTTGACTCGCCACGTGGCGCCACGCTGATGGCAGCCAGAGCCCTGGAACTAGAGGAGCCACATAGAGACCCGTGCCAGGGCTGAGATGCATCCATAAGACTTTTCGCCCACTGGCCTGTGGTATTCCTGCTTCCAGGAATATGGCATGTGCTGTGTGAGTCTGTAGAAGAATTATTGGACTAGTATCGGACATAGGAGCTAATATCAAACTTATGAACTTGATCTGAACTGAGCCAGGATGTTTTCTTAATATATAATTACTCTTGGATATGAAACTCTCTCTTATACTCATATGAGTTTCTCTGGATTACTCAACTCAACCCAGACTAACACACAGCTTCTGAGGCTCCAGATAACTGGAATCTTTGTACACAGACGAGTAAAACAAACATACATGCTGTGTGCAAGGAGAAAGGGCCTCCCCTGGGAGATTTTCACAAGGCACTGTTAATTATTAAAAGTGAAAAGGCAGATTCTTTTCCAACAAACCAGCGAGCATTTCTGTAAGTGAAAAATTAAAGAGAAGCAAGCAAACAAAACCCTGAAATGAAGAACACAGTACACAAACGTATGGACGGATGTGAGCGTGTGCATCACCGATGAGAGGGTTGGAAGAAGCTCTCTGGAATAAAGTGTGGTGTGGCCTAAGGAGGGAAGCACAGAAAAGCAGGTAAGCCACAATGCCACGCAGGGGACGGGGCAAGAGGTGGGAATTGGAGCCCCAGCAACAGATCGAGGCCACACGAATCTTCAAGGCATAGTGACGGAGAGTTTTCCAACAGGGTCAAAGACTAGAGTCAGTAGACCCTGATGAATTAGCTAGATGATTGTCAAGATAAATTTAAGTCCATATTTAACTCAACAGAGAGCTAAGGACCAAAAAACAAACAAAAAGTTAATATAAGACTCAATAGACCAGAGGTACTGATGGTTGTACAACTTTGTGAATACAGTGA